GCAAACCTCTTACAAAGGATCCGAGCAAGTGAAGAAGGTTCGTCTCCAAACATTAAGAGGTGAATTCGAATCCTTAAACATGAAAGCATCTGAGTCTATTTCAGATTATTTCTCAAGAGTAGTAGCTGTTTCTAATTAATTAAAAAGAAATGGTGAAAAGTTAGACGATGTGAGGATAATAGAGAAGATACTCCGTTCGTTGGATCCCAAATTTGAGCACATTGTCGTGACGATTGAAGAAACTAAAGACTTGGAAGAAATGACGATCGAGCAACTCCAAGGATCATTGCAAGCATACGAAGAGAAGCATAAGAAGAAGCATGAGTTTACTGAGCAACTCCTCAAGCTGCAACTCAAAGATATGCATGAAAGCCAACGCAATGATAGAAACCAACGTGGCCAAGGCAGAGGTAGAGGCCATGGACGAGGTAGAAGTCGAGGTCGTGGACGATGCTGGAATTACAACAACAATAATTCCAACAACAACTATGAGAAAGGAGAAAGCTCAACACGAGGCCGTGGAAGAATCAATCCGAACTCAAGACGTGACAAATCTCAAGTTCGATGTTATAATTGTCAAAAGTTTGGGCATTATGCTTCAGAATGTAGAGCTCCCAACAAAAAAATTGAGGAGAAGGCTAACTACATGGAGGAAAAGACAGATGGCAAAGAAACTCTTATTCTAGCACGAAAGGAAACTGATGGTGGCCAAGCAAATTCCTGGTATCTTGACAGTGGTGCAAGCAATCACATGTGTGGAAGAAAAGACATGTTCGTGGAGCTAGACGAGTCAGTAAGCGGAAATGTTTCGTTTGGAGATGATTCCACAATAGCAGTGAAAGGGAGAGGTAACATTCTTATCCGTTTGAAAGATGGGAGGCATCAATTTATTTCAAATGTCTACTATGTGCCCAATATGAAAAGTAACATCTTAAGTTTAGGGCAACTGGTAGAGAAAGGTTATGATATTCATATGAATAATTATAATCTTTCTATAAAAGATGATAAGAATAACTTCATTGCAAAAGTGCCGATGTCAAAGAATAGAATGTTCTTGATCAACATACAAAATGATGTTGCAAAGTGCCTGAAAGCTTGCTATAAAGATGCATCATGGCTTTGGCATCTTCGATTTGGGCATCTCAATTTTGAAGGTCTAGAGCTGCTATCTAAGAAGGAGATGGTGAAGGGACTACCTCGCATCAACCATCCTGATCAGCTTTGTGAAGGATGTTTAGCTGGGAAACAATTCAGGAAAAGCTTTCCAAAGGAGTCAGAGACAAGAGCCAAGAAGCCACTCGAGCTCATCCATATCGATGTGTGTATAGACCGATCAAGCCGAGCTCTCTCGGTAACAGTAACTATTTTCTTCTCTTCATTGATGATTTTTCAAGAAAAACCTGGGTATATTTCTTGAAACAGAAGTCAGAAGTTTTTGAAGTCTTCAAGAAGTTCAAAGCAGCAGTGGAGAGAGAAAGCGGTAGAAAGATCAAAGCCATGAGATCTGATCGAGGTGGAGAATTTACTTCCAGGGAGTTTCAAGAGTTCTGTGAAGCAAATGGAATTCGTCAACCAATGACAGTTCCTAGATCCCCCAGCAAAATGGTGTGGCAGAAAGAAAGAACAAAACAATCCTCGACATGGCACGAAGCATGCTCAAAAGCAAGAAACTACCTAAGGAATTTTGGGCGGAGGCAGTAGCTTGTGCAGTCTACTTGACAAACCGATCTCCAACAAGAAGTGTATGGGGAAAGACACCGCAAGAAGCATGGAGTGGAAGAAAGCCTGGCATTTCTCATTTGAGAACCTTTGGAAGTATAGCCCATGTTCACGTACCAGACGAGAGAAGAACGAAGCTTGATGATAAAAGCGAGAGTTTTATCTTCATCGGCTATGATGCTAATTCGAAGGGCTACAAGTTGTACAATCCAAACAATAAGAAGTTTTTGATTAGTCGAGATGTGGTCTTCAACGAAGAAGGAGAATGGGATTTTAACTCTCATACAGATGACTTCAATTTCTTTCCTCAGTTTGAAGAAGATGAGCAGACAATGAGGGAACAACTAGATGAATCTCAACAAGAGCTTGCAACTCCACCCACTTCACCAACATCAACCACTCAAGGAGACTCATCACCTTCGTCATCGTCAAGTGTGAGTCAAAGTGAAAGAGTTGTGCAACGCACAAGAAGCCTTAGAGATCTCTATGAGGTAACTGAACGACAAGATAATCTTACATTATTTTGTATGTTTGCCGATTGTGAACCAGTGAGCTTTCAAGAAGCGGTACAAGAAAAGAAATGGATAGATGCGATGGATGAAGAAATCAAGGCCATCGAGAAGAATGACACATGGGAACTTACCTCACTTCCCAAGGGACATAAGGCGATAGGTGTCAAATGGGTGTACAAAACAAAGCAAAACGCCAAAGGAGAGATTGAAAGGCACAAGGCAAGGCTAGTTGCTAAAGGCTATAGTCAAAAGGCTAGAATTGACTATGATGAGGTATTTGCTCCTGTTGCTCGATTGGAGACTATCAGACTAATTATTTCTTTGGCAGCTCAAAATAAGTGGAAGATACAACAGATGGATGTAAAGTCCGCCTTCCTAAATGGAGTTCTTGAAGAGGAAGTTTACATTCAGCAACCATCAGGCTATAAAGTCAAAGGGCACGAAGACAAGGTGTTGAAGTTGAAGAAGGCTCTTTACGGGCTAAAACAAGCACCAAGGGCATGGAATAGCCGAATCGACAAGTACTTCCAAGAGAATGGCTTCAACAAATGTCCCTACGAGCATGCTCTATATATCAAGATCAAAGATGAAGATATTTTGATCGTGTGTCTCTATGTGGACGATTTGATCTTCACTGGATGCAACCCAAGCATGTTTAATGAATTCAAGGATGTGATGATGAAAGAATTCGAGATGACAGACATGAGGCTCATGGCGTACTACCTTGGCATTGAAGTTAAGCAACAAAATGATGGAATTTTCATTTCACAGGAAAGCTATGCAAAGGAGATACTGAAGAAGTTCAAGATGGAGAACTGTAAGCCAATAAGCACACCGGCAGAATACGGGATCAAGATGACCAAACATGAAGAAGGCGAAAGTGTAGATCCAACATTCTTCAAAAGTTTGGTAGGAAGTCTACGCTATCTAACTTGCACGAGACCCGATATTCTTCACGCAGTTGGATTGGTTAGTCGCTATATGGAATCTCCAACAACCACCCATTTTAAAGCCACAAAGAGAATTCTTCGCTATCTGAAAGGTACAATTGACTTTGGCTTGTTCTATTCAGTTTCTAACGATTACAAGCTTGTTGGATATAGCGACAGTGATTGGGGTGGAGACATAGATAATCGAAGGAGCACTACTGGATTCGTATTTTTCATGGGAGATATTGCGCTCACATGGATGTCAAAGAAACAACCAATTGTCACATTGTCCACTTGTGAAGCGGAATATGTTGCTGCTACCTCATGCGTTTGTCATGCAATTTGGCTTAGAAATCTATTGAAGGAGATTGGTTTGATACAAGAAGAGCCTACCAAGGTTTGTGTCGACAACAAGTCAGCCATTGCCTTAGCGAAGAATCCAATATTCCATGATCGAAGCAAGCACATTGATATTCGCTACCACTATATAAGGGAGTGTGTTGCAAGAAAAGATGTGGAAGTTGAATACGTGAAGTCACAAGATCAAGTTGCTGATATTTTTACCAAGCCACTGACCAGCGAAGACTTCTTAAGATTAAGGAACCTACTAGGGGTCACGAGATCAAGTTTAAGGGGGGTGTTGGATCATAAACTTGATCCATTATGGGAGCCTAAACCCAAACCCAAACTAAATTGATGTCATTACTTACATCATTTAATTAAAGATGTCATTGCTTACATCATTTAAGTAATGATGTCATTGCTTACATCAATTTAGTTAGGTGAGAGTTAGATATTTGTTGAATTTGTAATGGTTAAATTAGTTTATTGTGTGGTGTAGGATTGTTCTTGAGTAGTATAAATACCTCTTCCCATTTTAGTTTTAAGCATCAAGAAAAATTAAGAGCTTCTAAGTGAGTGAAGAAGCAAAGTCTTATAAGAGTGAGTTGTAGTTCTTATTTTTGAGTGAGAGTGCTCTTGTAATATTTGTTTGAGTTTCAATAAAAGTTGTTTGTGTGAGTGTTTTATTTCCAACAAATTATTGTTGTATTCCAGCATTGCAACGCTTTTCATCCTTTTCCATCCATTAAATATTCTATCAGGAATTAGGATTGCTAATTATCATAGTGCTGTATACTGATTGAACACTTGTCCTTGTACGTGCTGGTTCCAATTGTGATGTTTGAACTTGGGAGAGTGTATGACTCTGAGCAGAAAGAAGTATTGTGAGAGGATTAAATGATCATGATATAGATCTTGTTTCTTATGCTGTCATATAATTTGTAACCCATTTAACACATGAAATGCGTGGGAGAAACTGAATAAATGAATAATTGTATATGTTAATTTGATAAGCTTTATGTAATGTTAGAGATAATATTGTTCTGTACTAGTATATTTGTTGAGTAATGTATGTACTAATTTTATTTGCTTACAATATATTGTCAAGTGTTTTGAAAAATGAAGCATTTTAAAATCATCTTTCTCCAGATATTATGAGGACAATTAACTTCATTCCCTGAGGTAGATGTTGAAAATTCTGAGGATACTCCACAATGATCTCAACTCAGACTTTCAGAAGCAGCAGAGAAGGTTTGTGACCTAAGAAAGCTCTTTCTTATACTTATTTGATTTATTTTTCTTAGCACTTAGGAGAAGCTTTGCTGTTGACTGTGAATCAAAACATTTTTTTGATCATTTGTGTGAATCAAAATGTTTTCCATGGTTTCATGCTAAATTCCAACCTTTGATGTTGCAAGCCCCCCCCCCCAAAAAAAAAAAAAAAAAGTGGCAGATCTTTTGGTAATATACTATGTTAAGAATGTTTTTCTGCCTATGCTTTGATGTACAATCCCTGCTTATTTTATTTATTATCTTTTCCTTTGACTGCTGCAGAGTTCAGGCTAAGGTTCAGTAGAAATCTAAGCCATCATTTCCGTAACATGGAATATAAGCTTGCCATGAGGTCAGTGTTGAATTTATCTCCTGGCTATTTAGATTATCTCAGTTATTATGCCATGATATCGTCTCCCAGTGTCCTGGACCCTAAGATCAACTTTACGGATATGGAGCCTGCACCTTCCAAATCAGATGGACTTTCAACTTTAATTAATACTCTATTATCACCATATGATATGGGGCGGTTGAAAGATTATTCAAATAATCTGATTGTCTTCCTGTCGGTGAGTTTTCTGATTGAAAATGTTGTATATCACTACATTTTGTGATTTGTTCATAAATTTATTTCATGTCTCACTGGTGTAGCATTAGCAAACTATGACATCTGCACTTAACAGTGAAGCATATCTGGTTTTTTATTTATATTAGGAAAAGTAAAGCATTTTTGGGTGTTCGCAATCCGGTTCGAGATCCAGTCCATTAGTGTATTATCCATTACTTTCAATGCAATAATCATTACCCTACATATTTGTAGGACCCACCTATAGATTGTGTAAATCATGCTTAAGAATAGTAATGGATGGTGATTAAGTTTGTATTGGATAGTAATGGATGGAGCTTGACCCTAGCAATCCACTGTTAAGTTGCCATACTTCTATCAGGCTTTAAGGATGTGTAGTGCAATGCTGTCTTATTTCCATTCAATGACAACTACTATAATTAGACATTCAGAATGAGAAAATATATGTATATTGATGGTGAAACTTAATTTAGTGACATTATCAGATAGAGATTTTACTTGTTAAAGGTGATCCAATCTGCACAAGAATTTAACATACATGGCTTGTAAATGATTGCACTAGGCTTCCATAAATATTTGCCTTTTTAAGAACTTTGTTTTTCCCTTTTCAGATCACCGACCTTTTATCAATTCTTGCACACCTATATTTCCAAGAGAAGATGCCAGTTACGTTAACGTACGTTCAGGCCGCTATTTTTTTCTGCATGGGCTTGCAGAACCAGGATGTCTCCTATGTTGAGGTTTGTTACTCAAATCAATTTTATTACATTTTTTCTTACAAAATATTGATACACCTGACTAGACTTCTACAACTATTTGATTTAAATCACATACTTGGGGAAAAAGGGATCTAAATCCATGTCGCGTTGGTTTAAAACCCCGGCCTTGTATTATTAACCTTAAGTTACCTTTATGGCTTACTTACACATCAGGGTGACATGCATATCTGCTTAGCATTACCATTCAGGTCTCTTCCATTGACTGAGGGGGGTTGAAAAATGGAGAATTTGTTTAAAACTGATTTAATGTGTATTAATTAATTGTTTTGTTTCCATGTGTAACACAACCATGGATATATTCATTTTGCCTACGAGTTTGTCATTTTTCAGGAACAAATGAAAAAACTAGAGAGGCAGAAGATATTATCCCAGTTTAAGAAGGTTATGATAAAGCTCTACAAATATTTGTATGGAGTTGCATCCAAGGAGATTGATTCTGCTTTACCTCGACTAAAAGAAGTAAAGTCATTCACTTCTAATTCTTCCATTTTATTGTATAGCTGGGCATTGTCACCGGTGTTATGTGCTGGTATTGATTTTTTCTCTCCTTGCCAGAGAGTGTTAGGACCTCATAGTATCTCTGTGGATGAGTACCTCAATGATGCTGCAAAGAAAGTTGAGGTAAGGTCCGTCAGCAGTGCAGCATTTCTTCCGTGGTGGGTCTGTCTTGTTTTTTTTTTATCTAACTTGACGTCTATTTATAGGAGGAAATGCGAGCCAAGGCAGATGGTGGGTTAAATCCGGAGTTCCTCCAACATGTCATTGAAGGTAGAGAAGCTGAACTCGAGAATGCTTTGGAAAATGGTGGTGAAAAGGTGCTTTCAGGTGGTGTCATCAGTGTGAAATCCAGCAGAAGCGGAGTCGAGAAGCGTGGGAAGAAGGATGAATCAAATAAGAAAAGTGGGAAAAAGAGAGGAAAAGACGACCGTGATTCAAAATCAACAAGCAAGAAGAGAAAACCATAGTTACCAGCATAAACAGTTGTAATATATATAGAGGCAGTTGAAGTCGTGTCTTCTTCAGATTGGGTTTGCACTGTTAGGCCTGCCCAGTGCCAGCATAGGCATCATGTCAAAGGTGTGCGCAAGTTTCGGTAGAACAGGGATGGAGATTCTAGTTCTTGTAACCTTAAATTCTTAACCATCTCTGCAAATGTTTTTTATTTTCATTTTTTTATCAAGCATTAATACTTTTCTGTGAATTGCACATTTATGTCCTATTTTAATAGTTTGGAATTTCTGGTTAGAGAAAGTACGTGTGCAACTTAGGCTTTTTGATATTTACTCTTGCATAGTTCAGTATATCATTCTTTTTCGATGATACAGAAAACAAATATTCTGATCAAACCCTGCAAAATTGGGTGCGATTACATACCCAAAAGAAATCAAATTACTGAAATCATTCATGGAAGAATTTGAAAAATTTTCTAGAGCTAAAACAAAGATGATAATCAAATGGGTAAACTGCCTATTTAGGTCATTTAAAGTATTATATTTTATAAAATACATTTAATATTATGTTTTGGTTCTATTTTTGCTATTCAAAATTAATTGTGATACCAATGTGAAAAGATAATAATTGAGTGATCAAAATAGAAACTAAGTAGACATAGTTTGCCTTCTACTACTATAAGTTCATGAGTTAATTGCATCATATGTCCTCAAAGTATGACTCTTATTTTAAATTGGTCCTATAATTTTTAAATATTCTAATTTCACCCCTAAACTATGATTATCATTTTAGATTAGTCCTCAAATTTTTAAACATTTCAATTTCATCCCTAAAATATGACTTGTTTTGATTTGGTCCCTAAATTTTTTGAATATTTCAATTTCATCTCAAACAATATGTATATACTAATCGCATCCCATGTAAATAAAATCGTTAGGCCAAGTTATATTATTATTTGTTCAAAATAACAAAATTTAAGTTAAACTATGGTTGAAATTAATTACATGTTTGGATGAATTTGGGGATAAAATTGGAATATTCAAAAGTTTGGGAACTAATATAGAAAGAGGGTCATAGGTTAGGGATGAAATTAAAAAATTTATAAGTTTAAGGACTAATTTAGAATACGATTCATAATTTGAGAATGAAATTAAAATATTCTAAAATTTAAGGGCTAATTTAAAGTGAGAGTTATAGTTTGGTGATATATAATGCAATTAACTCTGTTCATATTTGTTCTAATATGTGCAAAATTACTTTCTTGATAATATATTTTTAATATTCGAATTTGTTTTATCTTTAAAAATATAATATAATTTATTAATGGTAAAATCATGAAAAATGTTTATACATAAAATTTAGGGTAAAGTACGCAAATGGTCTCTTGACTATAGTATATTGCTTTATTGAGTCTTCTGACTATTAAAAGTTACAAAATGATCCCTCGACTATATGAAGTTGCTTTGTTGAGTTCCTTGACTATTGAAAGATACAAAATGGTCACCTGATTATTTATTATGTTCCAGACTCGTCCTTTTCCGTTAAAAAGTTAACGAAAGTTTGAGTTGGACGTTAACTTGCTAACTGAGATATGATAAAATCTAATATCATAATCTCAAACAATTATCATATCTCAGTTAGCATGTTAACGTCTAGCTCAGACAATTGTTAGTTTTTTAACGGAAAATGATGAGTTTGGAACATAATGAATAGTCAGACGACCATTTTGTAACTTTTAATAGTCGAGAGACTCAACAAAGCAACTTCCTATAGTCATGGGATCATTTTATAACTTTTAATAGTCATGGGACTCAACAAAGCAATATCCTATAGTCGGGAGACCATTTGTGTACTTCGCCCTAAAATTTAAAACTTTAAAATTAAAAGAACGAGAAATTATCATTTTAGATTTTTTTTCTAATATCAATGCAGCTGATAAAAACTATAATAAGTTATTTGGATTTGTGAAAAACTCATAAATCCTTATGGGTAAGCTATATTTGCTTAATTGACCTTACATTTATTTGCTGTAGCAATCTTCAGAATCAGGTGGAAGACAAATTGGCTACTTCCCTAAAAGCGGTAAAATATAATCCAAAGAAGAGTGCTTAACCACTAGCCTACTTCAACAAGCGCACCGTCCTCCCTGTTCTACTTCCGAAGCAGTTTCTGATACGCACCGGGAATAACTGCATCAGTCAAAATGTTAGTTTCAGTGTCTAAAGAACAGTTGATTTCGAACTTTTCATATTTTTTAGAACATCCATGTCCAACACCAATTCGAACATGCGTACCGAGATATGATTTTCCAAATATAAGCATACCTAAAGTAGATAAAAAAAATGCTTCATGAGGGGTATGCTTACATGTCATGTTCACGTTCACAGGCTACTGCAGTTTTTGCAACACATAAAAATGCTTCATCAACATTGTAATCCTGTTTTGCAGATGTCTCAAAGTAAGGCATATTCCCCTTGGAGGCGCACCAATCCCTACCATTTTTCTCAGTTACCTGTGCACAAGTACGTTTAAATGTCCTATCCCGATACTCATTTAGATATACGTCTGACACGAATGTTCGATACAAATATTTTGAAAAGAAAAAAACGTAAGAGTTGGAGTAACATACCACTCGACTGTTTCCACCGTCTAGGTCGACCTTGTTTCCGATTACTACGAAAGGAAATGAGTCGGGATCAGATGGATCTGCCTGGTTTTACAGTATCAAAGCATGGGATCAGAACCAAATACATGGTATGCCACAATTGAGACATTTTTTTACCTGTTTTAGAAATTCTTCACGCCAGTTGCTTAGTGTTTCAAATGATCTTTGCACGTTTACATCAAACACAATAACACAACAATCTGCCCCTCTATAAAATGCAGAACCAAGACTCTGGAACCTTTCTTGCCTGCTGTATCCCATATCTGTTGCCATAAACTTGGTGAAATTCTAAGATTTTAGTTTTAAAAAATGCATGAATTGTGGTTGGTTTTTCATCACTTACTTGCAGAGTCACCAATTTGTTATCAAGCTGTAACTCTTTGGTGACAAAATCAGCCCCAATCGTAGCTTTGTACTGTCGATTGAACTTGTTATAAACATATCTGGCTGACGAAGTTAAGATTCTGTACAAGCCTTTGTAATTGTATTGGCAATAATTACAGATATCAGATACTGCTAATTGGATCACTTAATTAATAAACAAAAGGATACTGATTCATCAAAGATGTCTTCCCCACTCTGATATATTATAAAAAAAATCAAAACAAGAAAATCAAAAGAAAAAAGGGAAAATTAAAACTTACCCACTGTCACCTAGAACAATGACCTTAAGTAGAGTTCTCTTCATAGAAAAATCCATGATGATGACCAGAAAAAAACTTCTAAAATAGAGGAACAAGGGGTTGTTTTTCTTTACTGTTAAACAATTCTTCTGTATTTTTCCAGGAATCTGTAAGAAAAGTTTGGCAAAGAACAGTTGTTAATATAAATAAAAAGCAGCAGCCTGTTTTTCTCAAACAGTGATTCTTTAATGATACAAGTGCAAGAACATGTGAACCCTGCAAATGCTAAAGCTGAAATTTTCAAAACTATATATATATAACAGTAATCAAATCACACACGCATATATGGTAAAGGAAAGTTATAATTAAAAGTTAATTTCTAACTGTTCTAGTTTTATTGCATAGCGACTGTCTTAAAAAGACTTTGGATCGTGCTTTCCTCTTCCTTTTTTCATCTATAGGAAATCCGTAAAGTGTTGATCGTGTAGGTTGAATATGACTATAACAATTATCATGTGATATATCATCTCATACATGGTCAAATAAAGCTGTACAATAATATATATATATATATATATATATATAACAGTAATCAAATCACACAAGCATATATGGTAAAGGGATGTTATAATTAAAAGTTAATTTCTAACTGTTCTAGTTTTATTGCATAGCGACTAGTCTTAAAAAGACTCTTTGGATCGTGCTTTCCTCTTCCTTTTTTCATCTATAGGAAATCCGTAAAGTGTTGATCGTGTAGGTAGAATATGACTATAACAATTATCATGTGATAAATCATCTCATATATGTCAAATAAAGCTGTACAATAATATATATATATATATATAACGTGCGGTATCAAAATTTAAAAGATTATAATTTTTCAAAATGAATGGAATCAGATGGTTGATATCAAATTTCTTTAGGGTGCGTTTGGTTTACGGAATGTAAGATTACGAATGTAAGATTACCAGTGGGAATGTAAGATTACCAGGGAATAGAATTACTGGTAATGTTGTATTTTGTGTTTGGTTGGTTTAGCAATAATGTAAGATTATCATGTCTGGTTAAAAGAATAAAAGATTATTGGAATGTATATTTGACCAAATTATTCTTATTATATATATATATATATTTTTTAACAAGTTAGAAAATATTTATATATTTTCTTTAAAAAAATTAAATTCATAAAATTTATATATATATATATTTACAAAATTGAAAATATAAAAAGATTTAATGAAAGGGTAAAATTTTATTTTAACTCCTGAACTTCATATAAAATTTTAATTAGACTTTTTTTGTAAATCTAAAATAGTTTAAGGATAAATTTGTAATTTAACCTTCGTAGAATTTTATTATTCAATGACAGAATAAGAATATTTTTGAAAAAAAAAATTAAGGGCATTTTAATCCAAAACGTCGGTAATCCAACAATACCTAAAGAAAGGGAGGTAATGACATTCCCGATAATATACCCCAAAAAATCTACTATTGGTAATAAAACATTACCGGGAATGAGATTCCCGGCCAACCAAACATGAGAATGTAGATTTCATTCCCATGAGAATCCCACATTCCTTGCACCAAACAACCCCTTAAGGTATGTCAACTTACTTAAAAGTAGTACGATATTTTTTTCAAAAAATTATATTAATTTTTTTAAATATTTTGATATAAAATTTATTAAAAAAATATTTGATACCCCTACTCACCATGTTATTTCTCCCATGTACAATGGACAACGAAAATTATTTTAGTGGAAAGAGACTATGAATCTTTTAAATAATTATTAATTTTATTAAGTAAAATAAGGATTTAATTAAAAAAAAGAATATATAAAAATATATTTATAATTATTATTATATATTAT